CTGCAGGATGTATGCTCTCAGTGATCCCAAAGATAAGGAACTACAACAAACTTGTCCTCATGAGCATTCAATGAAATGTGAAGAATGTGAAAATCTAAAATTTGTCATCAAAGATATTGAAGAAAAAGTCGAAAACCTGTGCCAACATTCCAGCATGACAGAAAGGCGGGAAGATATGCTCTCCGACCTAAAACAGGCTGCAAAGGATATTTTTGACTGGAAGTCTCACATATTGCGCTCGACCAATCAAGAGAATGGGAAGCAGGACGCCCTTCGGCAACTCGATGAGAAGACAGTTCTAGTGGTCATGGACTGGGCCATGAAGTTCCAGCCGAGAAAATATCGAGAGAAACAATCTGAATGGTTTGGGAAACGTGGGTTGTCGTGGCATGTTAGCAGCGTTATTTCAAAGCATGATGACACATTGAGCGTGCAGTCTTTTGTTCACTTAATTGACAATAGTAACCAAGACTGGTTTTCAGTGGCGTCAATTGTAGAAAATCTTCTTCAGACAGTGAAACAGGAAAACCCGCAGATAACTAAAGCATTTTTAAGGTCGGATGAAGCGGGCTGTTATCACAACAATATGCTGATTTTAGCGTGCAATGATCTTTCTCAGTCAAGTGGTGTACAGATTGTAGGGTATGATTTCTCTGAGCCGCAATGTGGGAAAGACATTTGTGATAGGATTATTTGTCCAATGAAGTCAACTATCAATTCTTTCTGCAATGAGGGACACAACATTCTTTCTGCCGTTGACATGCACACTGCGTTAAAAGAACGACCGGTAAAAGGAGTGACTGCCAGCGTTGGAGTGATCGACGAATCTAAAAATACTTTCGACGTTCAAAAAATGGACGGATTCAGCAAATTCCACGACTTTCGCTTTGAAAAGAATAAGCTAAGAGTCTGGAGGGCTTACGGTATCGGAAAGGGTAAAGTAGTTAAAACTAAATCTCTGTACAAAAATCGCCTGGTTCACCCTTCTTTACTGCACCTGTCAGATGAGCATGGATTCTTTCCTTGCAAAAGTAGAACAATGGACACAAAGGAAGATGCAAAGAAGAATGAAGATCAAGAGATTCATGTATTTGATTGCAATGAGCCAGGGTGCGATAAGTCGTTTGACACATTATCTGATCTGGAACTCCATCTAGATGTTGGAAACCACCAATCCTCTACACATCGGCCTAAAGAGAATTTGTACGATTCCCTAAGACGAGACTGGGCTAAGCAGTTTTCCACCATCACAAATCTCAAGCCAAACAAGGACAAAGCGAAACACAAGGAACTGCTGTTTGGTGGTTCTTCTGAATTATGTGAAGGGTGGGCGTTGGCAACTAGTTCAGGAAATGCTCGTTTTGCAGAGCACGTAAAGTCATACTTAACCACAAAATTCGACCTGGGTATAACGACCGGTAACAAAATCACACCAAAAGAGGTTGCACAAGACATGCGTCGTGCAAGGAACGAGGAAGGGGAAAGACTCTTTTCAAGAGACAAGTGGCTGAAAGAGAGCCAGATTAAAGGCTTCTTTTCTAGGCTGACATCCTCACAAAAAAGATTAGCACCTTTACAAAACCGAAGAAGAATCAGACGATGAGTGGGAAGAGTATGAAAATGAACTAGAGTTGCTAAATTTTATCCATGAACGCATTGGCTTGAAGCATCCAATTATCTATGATACTTTTAACCTTTGTGAATATGCTGCAAAAGGAAGACTCGCAAAACTTAATAATACTATATTAAAAGAAATTCTTGATCACTATGAAATAATTTACACATCAAAGGAAAGAAAACAAGACTTTGTAACAAAGATCGAGGAAATGGTGAAAGAATGTGGGTGCCTGCATTGCCATTGATGGCGAAACTTTTCCTGCATGACCGTCGCTTGCAACTAAGGATGAACAGTCGCTGATAAAACACTGTCTATTCTCACAAGAACGCCCATTGATTTTACCAAGAAAGTTCAAAGTTTGTAATGACCATTTGACGGTTTCAATTAGATCAGGTAATTGTCTAGTCTCCCTCGCAGCCGCTATTATTACCATTTGCAAGCAACCGTTCGGCCCAAACATTTCTATACGCGTTGTTTTACACTTGAAACATGCACGTTTGGCCTTGGAAACGTGTATGTTTGGCCTTGGAAACATGTATGTTTGGCCTTGGAAACATGCACGTTTCTAAGTGGTTTTAGACAGTAATTTGACATTTGACGAGTAACGCCCACATGTTTATCAAACGTAAGGGTACATTCAGAGCAAAATTTGAAACGATTGTGATTTTATACAAATTGAATTATTAATTTTACTAAGTATCAACATTAATAACGATGCCAGTGCAAGTAAAAACTTTATATGGTCTAAAACTACTGTTTAAAACTACTTAGTAAACGTGTATGCCTTCAAGGCCAAACGTACACGTTTCCAAGGCCAAACATGCACGTTTCCAAGGCCAAACGTGCATGTTTCAAGTGTAAAACAACGCGTAAAAATGTTTGGGCCGAACGGTTGCTTGCAAATGGTAATAAAGATTCTCACGCGAATAGACAATTTTTTATCCGCGACCGCAACTGTTCACCTCTAGTTGCAAGCGACGGTAAACGAGGCGAAAATTGGCAAGTTTGTTTATCATTAGAAAGAACGCAATGTCAAAAAATAAAGTTCCCATTCAATTTGTTACAAAGGCATCATCTTCATGCAGTTTGTACAGCCTGCATTCGAGTAAAATTATGTCTATGGAGGACGCTGTTTTATGTTTTTATGGCCGCTTTGGAAGTTGGATAGCAGCCATAAACATAGCGCCGCTGTATCGGCATGGAGGTGATGAAGCGATCTTTCTTTCCACAGTCTCGCAACATAAAGAAATCCTTGAAAGTGTTCTCAACACAACGACACTTGACTTCAACACATTTTGCGCTAAGATGTGTAATTATCGCTGTTTAATATATGCAAAAGCGAAAATGGATGTGACCTACTTGGGGCCAAGCATTGCGCCGGGGCCCGGGGCTACATCGAGGGTACTTACAGTATGACTTAATTTTAAAACATGTGCTATGATAAATTGACTCAAATTTGCCTGAATTTTCTTTCTTTTGTCTTCGGTGGCGGAGAAATTTTGAGATTATGAAATTGAATGTGAAAGGACATTTGAAGAGGTGGTTGTGGAAGCACTGGCACAAACTTGTTTATCAGATAACGTAAATGTCAAAATACTATGAAACGTCGCATTGAATTTGTTGCAAATTAGATGGACATCATGGACTTTGAACAGTTTATACAGCCAGCCTGCATTTGAATACAGTTATGCTGTTATGTACTCTGGACGATCCTGTTTTCTTTGTGGATTCAAATTTGGAGGATGGATAGAATTACAGTTGTAATAAAACGGCTATAAACATGGCGCCGCTGTATCGGCAAGGAGATGATGAAGCGAGACTTTCTACAGTCTCGCATTACATCTTGGCACAATGACACTTGACTTCAACACATTTTGCAGTATTAGCCACTGTTCCGAGCTATTTGATGTGCGATTGTTTTACGATTTGTAGCGGATAATTATGAATGTAAATTGCCGTAACTAGCGTGCGCAGGTATGTAAAATCCTCACATTTCAAATTTGTTTTATTTTGTCCCAGTGATGATAGCCATGGATGTTTTTACGGAAACTAGTGCTGTTATTCGTAATTATTAAGCGTGTACAACTCTTGATAAGTAGATTTGTGCCAGTATGGAGAAAATATATATTTAGAAATGCTACTTTTTCACCCGGTCGATTAGCCGCGTATTTATAGTCGGCACTATCTCCAAGTTGTTTTAAGACATCCAAAGTTTGAGTTCATAAATGCTGAGCTAGTGTAATAAACTGCAGGCCTGCAGAGTATATCTCGGATTGAATCATTTTTGAGAGCGCGAGAACGTAACAAAGATGACTAATTTTTGTGTGTTGCAGCGATGCTAATTTCGTGCTTCGACGTACACACGTAAAATTGCCCAAATATCGAAATCTTTTGAAATTTGAAACAAACCCCTTTTGTATTGATGATAAGCAAGGGTTTCTTAATCCACACACAAAGTTTAAGGCTGGGTTTATTTTTGAACCAGTATCGAGTGGTCGGAAATTACAGAGACGGACTCTTAATTTCGTGAGACATACAATTGATATAGCGATGAATCAAGACAATTCTCAAGCTGATTTGTTCATTACAACTAGAGGTTCTTTGAAATGGTTAGGTAGCTTTGAGGAACTTAAAAAGTTTTGTGATAAAATCTTGAAGATCGACTGAAGATGGCTTGCGCCCAGAGGTGGATGTAAATCATTTGAAAACGAAGATATAACGATCAGATGGTACTCAACAAATAATTCACTGACAATTAAAGGTCAAGATGGTGAATCGCTTCGAAACGAGCTTAAATTGATCGCAAATCCAATGGACGAAAGTGTTGGGGACACGCAAGATGACGAGTTGATTTCTGCCGAAGGCGACGGCGACAGTATAGCTTCAACTCGAATTCATGGGAAGGTAGACGAGTTGTTCAATTAAAGAAAGCCCTCAGGTAACGGCCAAGGACTCTTCTGACTACGTTTACTTTCAAAATCAGGTAAGCGAAATTAAATCAAATCTAGATCAGCACATTGATAAAACGAGAACGGAACTTCAACGAATAGAAGAATCTTTTGCAGATCAATTTGATCAGCTAAAACAATTACAGTTCAACGAAAGGACAAAAGAACTTGTCAAATATTGCTTATCCAACTTAGAGACCCAAAACTGTAAGCTCAAATAAGAAAATATTCAGCTTCGGATCGATAACGACAGTCTTAAAGATAGACTCAATTCTGTCTCCTACGTTGTCTATGACCTAAACACCAAAATTAAAGATATCGAAAGTGAAAAGCTTAGTCTAGTCACTGCTATAAAGCTATTACAAGAAGACAACAATTTAGCAACAATAAATAACAGAGATTCGGCTTGCAGTTCGTGGCAAACTTCAAGGTTTAAAGCACAAAGTAATGCACATAATATTTCCTCTAATGATGGGCATAATATAACCGTACGCATGACTGATCAAAATAATCAAGCACCAGAGGCAGTGACAAAAACATCAAATAAGTTTGATATCTTGTCTGTGGAAAGTTGTTCTGATAATGAAAGCGACACAAATGTAGATGATAGTACTTTGAAGCTCAACACTATATTGCCATCGGAATCTAGACTAAATAGCCCAAACGTCGACTCGAGGAAATATGATAATGCACAAAAGAAAAATCAGTCAACCCAATCTTATGGTCAAAGCAAAAAGTCTAATTCAAAGTCCAATGATAATAATCGTAGTTATCGTACTGCGAATTCGAAGAGAGCCGCTACATCTCAAAAGGGCACTACAAATCAACCTAGTAAGCTTGTATTTATAGCTGGAGATTCAATAGTCGAACATGTCCACAGCTGGGAGTTATCTGATGCTGAACGGCGAGTAGCTGTAAAATCATTTTCAGGTATACGTGAGATATGCGTGACTTCCTTAAGATATGCGTGACTTCCTTAAACCACTTATCCGCAAAACACCTGATGAGGTGATACTACACATAGGCACCAACGATGTAAAAGATAATTCGAAGACAGCAGAAATGGTTGCAGCTGGTATCCTGAATCTGGGTACTCAGGTTAAAGAATCTTTGCCACGTACCAAAGTAAGCTTCTCAAGTATAACTGTCAGGAAAGACAGGCATTCTATTCAAAATAAAATAGAACATGTTAATGCTATACTTAAACGCATGTGCATTGAAAATAATTGGACCTATATAGATAATAGCAACATTGACTATACTTGTTTAAATAGGCGTGGTTTATATCTAAATAAAAACGGAAGCTCAATTATTAGTAAGAATTATAGCAACATTTACGCTTAAATTGATATAATGTACAGCCAGGTGGAAACAGGCATACACCGACTAAGCCATGCTTACCTAATGTAAAGGGTTTTAAAATGGGTATACTTAACATAACTAGCTTACCTAAACATATAGAAGAAATTAGAGTAATATTAGCTGAAAAATGTCTCGATATTCTCGCACTAAATGAGACAAGACTAGATAATAATATTACCAATCAGGATATGTTTATTCACAATTATGATTTAATTAGGGCCGATCGTTCTAGAACAGGGGAGGCGTCTGTTTATATATAAGAAATTCCATTAATTATTTCGAACGAAAAGATCTGACTAGAGATAATCTTGAAGCAGTTTGTATTGAGGTTAACAAACCCTCTTCTGCATCGTTTATTGTTGGTACCATTTTTAGACCTCCAGGTGCTTCTGTCGACTCTTTTGCCAATATTGAGCAATTAATTAAACTTATAGATGATGAGAATAAGGAATTTTACATGCTTGGTGATTTAAATGTCAATATGCTTGACGTTTCAAATAATGCCACAAAAAACTTAAATTCAATCATTGAACTATATCAGTTAACACAAACAATAAGCTCACCCACTCGCGTGACCATGACTTCATCTTCTCTGTTGGATGTTTGTCTCACCCCAACTCCAGATAAGTTAGTCTTATCTAAAGTGGTGCAGATTGCTATCAGCGATCACTATATGATTATAGTTGTTCGTAAAATTAATATTCGTCCTAAACAAGACAACCCGCCACAAGAAAGTCGAAATTCGAAACTTTAAGTATTTTAATGCAGAAAATTTCCTAATGGATTTGAGTAATCAGGAATGGGAGTTGTTGGACAATAACTTCTGCGTTGACAGGATGTGAGAAACATGGAAAATTATTTTCTTGTCAGTTCTAGACAAGCATGCACCAATTAGAGAAAAGAGAGTAAAAAATATACCAAATATTCCTTCGCTGACTAATGCAATTAAAAAACAAATACGTGAACGGGATCGTCTCAAATTCCTTGCCGTTAAATACAATTCAGAAAATTACTGGACTGCATATAAAACCTCTAGAAACCATATAACTAGTACACTGCGAGAAGCAAAAACAGCATATTATAAAGCACAATTTGAAAGTGTCAAACATGACCCTAAAAAGCTTGGAAAACCGTTAATAAAATCCTTAACCGGAAACAAGAATGTCGCGAAATAAATTGTATCCATACTCAGAATGGTCAAATTTCTTGTCCAAATGAATTAGCGGAGCGCTTTAATAATTACTTTACTGACATTGGTCCAAAAATTGCCACAACCATTGGTAATACTGATAGAAATTTCACGGATTACATAACAAAAGCAACAAGTAGTTTCAAGTTTCAAACAGTGTCTGAAACCAAAGTATACAAACTTCTCTCCTCTTTAAATCCTTGTAAATCTACTGGAATTGATAAAATTCCCGCTAAAATTATTCGTATTGCTGCGCCAATAATTGCAAATTCACTGACAAGAATTTTTAATACGGCAATCTATAGTGAAACTGTTCCTTCAGAGTGGAAACTAGCGAGAGTTATCCCTTTACACAAAAATGGCCCTCGAAACATGTTGAATAACTATCGCCCAATTTCCATTCTGCCTATAGTAAGTAAAGTTTTTGAAAAAGTTCTATATAGTCAACTATATGATTATTTTGTTGTTAATAATTTGTTGTCTCAAAATCAACTTAGTTTTAGGCAGTTCCATTCTACAGCTTCTGCCCTTTTGGACAGTACTAACGAATGGTTCATTAATATGGACCGTGGTCAATTCAATATTGCAGTATTTCTTGACTTGCAGAAAGCATTTGATACTATAAATCATAATATATTGATTAAGAAACTTGACCTTTATGGTCTACAAAAACCTGCCCTAAATCTTTTAGGATCATACTTAGAAAACAGATTTCAAATGTGTACTGTGAACGGCGTATTGTCTAGAAAAAATCTAGTTACTTGTGGGATCCCCCAAGGTTCAATTCTTGGGCCACTCCTGTTTCTAATTCATATAAACGATCTGCCTACAAGTCTTGAACACTCGTCATCAAGAATGTTTGCCGACGATACAACGTTAACTGTATCTGGTAAATCTCTTCATGATGTAGAAGTTGCCATCAATCACGATCTTTCAAACGTTAATCAGTGGCTCTGTGCAAATAAACTATCTTTAAATCTCGTTAAAACTGAGTACATACTAATTGGATCACGGCATAATATTAATAATATATTGGCCACCCCAAAGGTATTTGTTGGCGACATACCAATTAAAAGGGTAAGAGAAACAGTCAGGCACTTGGAGTCTATATTGATGAATTTCTATCATGGGAAAAGCATATTGATAAAATTGCTAAAAAAGTCTCATCCAGAATTGGGGCAATCAGAAAGTTAAAATCATGTGTAGACCGTAATACATTAATTTGTGCCTATAATGCACTTGTTTTGCCTCACCTTGTTTATTGCTGCGAAGTTTGGGACACCGTTGGTACTATACTTTCTGATCGTCTCCAGAAATTACAAAATAGGGCTGCTAGAGCTATCGTGGGTCGTAAAAATGAACATGGTCAATCTGAACTTGCTCTAAATGAATTAAACTGGAAACCTCTGAGCGAACGCAGAAATCAGTTTGTGGCAAGTCTTATGTATAAAATTACTCATGATCTAGCGCCCTTACGACTTACTGATATTTTTCAAAAGACGTCTTCCTCCCAGCATTATAATTTGCGGGGCTCTTCCACTAAACTCCATTTGCCCAAGCCTAAGACTGAATATCTTAAAAAAAATCTTAGGTATAGAGGGGCTAAACTGTGGAATAGTCTCCCAAATGAATTAAGAGGAAAAGAATCACTAGCTATATTCAATAAAAACGTATGACACCAGGCTACTAATTAGAGTTTTCAAACCCATATTTACCTTGACTATTTATTAATCTATTAATATTTACTATTATGTATGTATGTATGTATGTATTGTATGTACTATATCTATTTAATTATGTATGTAATTGTAATAATTGCATGTAAGTAACTGTATTTGTATGTTTAACTTTTCTAAATTTTTAATGTAAATTTGAATTTAATGCTACGCCCCCCTTGGAAATCAGCTTTTGCTGTAGGGGTACGTTAGCGTAGTAAAGTAAAGTTTTACCTACCTTACCTTACCTACCTACCTCAGATACACCCCCTCTTGAAGCAGTACCTGGACGGAACCATATTTCCGGACACGTATATGGTCGGGAACCTAATCAGAGCATCCAGATGAAAGTGCTTGTCGATGGGTTTCATGGGATCTATATCCCCTCCCCCATCCTTATACATCTCTATGGTCTTGTCGATTTTTGCGTATAGGACGGGTTGTTTTCCACTCCGATAGAAACACCTTATGGCTTTCGTTCCGGACTTCCCAACCTCTTCGGCACATCTTCTCTCCAGTACCTCCAAGGCTGATAGGAAGTCCTTGTGGTCTCCAACCGCCAGTGGAATGGTGAAGTTCTCCTTCCCAAACTTCTTGTCCTTGTTGATCCCATAAGCCAAGCAGTCCTTCAGCTGTAGCAGAAAGGGTCCACCGTCCTCTGCCACAAGTCCGATACTTTCGGACCCGAACCTGTTTCCGACGGGTTCCTCAAAGTCAAACGATTTTTCGGAGAAGTCTTCCGCTCTGGTTATGGAAATGGTTCCTTTTATTATACAAACACTATCTATAAATGTTGATTCTGTTCAGCAAGACTCCGACAAGCGTGCGTGTGTGTCTACACGCGCGGGCGTGCGGGCATGCCGGCATATGAACGTGTGGGTATGCGGGGCATGCGGGCGTACGGGCATATGGGCATGCGGGCGTACGGGCATATGGGCATGTGGGCGTGCGGGCGTGTGGGGTCTTCGGAACATCGGGTCAACACTTTCGAGGATTTGCGGCAAACTGTCAGAGCATGTGTGTACGTACTTGCGTGCCTGCGTGTTCGCGACCACGGATGCGCGAGAACGGGGGAGGTGTCCGGCAGGCAGAGGACCCCTAGGACGGCGCGGAGAATTGGGGAACCGGAAGTGACGTCATCGATTCAACCGGAAGTGACGTCATCGATTCTCCCGCGCATGCGCAAACGTCCTAGAACCGGCCTTTATTAGCTATTAGCACACATAAAAAACCACAATCAAGGGCAACTTCATTTCAAGGTGAATTTAGAAAACATTTATACAGCATATGTAAATGAGGTTGTATTATGCACTAATGCTTTAATATACCATGACTGTGCTGTTACAATGTGTACTTCCTAATATGCAGTACGAGTAATAATAATCAGGGTAACTGTCATAAGTAGTAATACCCCCTCGTCTGGCGGATTCATAATTAATTAGGCAAAATGAATATTTAATGAGCTTTCATATTCATGACGTCATTATTGCCTTGCTCCTTTACGACCTTCATCCTAATTATGTATTCATGACGTCAGTACTTATTATGTATTCATGACATTATTATGTATTCATTCCGACTGCCGCTCGAAGATGATGTCATCCCGACTCGTCGCCGAGTGCACACATGATGTCATAATGATATGCAAGGCGAGCCTGAGCAAGAAAGTCATTAAGCTGAGGTCAGCATTTCTATCACAAAAGTAATCGCTTTTTTAATGTTATAGCTATGTTAGCGTCGCTACAATTAAATGACAACTATATGAAAATTTGCATCGAGCACATGGTAGGACAATAACGAAAGTCGTTAAGGTGGGCAGCTTCTGGCGAAACGGTCATTAGCTTGTGTAGTTCATTTTACTTTTAAACATGGAAGGCGAGTCATCTGTTCACTTACTGGAAGCAATTTATATCCATGCAATTCAGAATGAAGTTAATAAAATCTGCGAAGACAACTGCTACGGTTGTGAAGTCAGTCATCCTAGTCAAAGAAACCATGACTGTCTTATGATGGACGACGAAGAAAGATGGTTGTTGTATGCAGCGGACGCAGTTATGCAAGTGAAGTGCAAGTATTGCATTTGGAGCGAATTTATTGAAGCAACAAGAGTATTGAAGATGATCCATCGCGAAAATATGCGTACACGTTTACAGCAGCTGGAAAGCATCGATGATCCCATGTTATTGAAATCATTGAGCGAACAGCATTTAACGGAAGAAAATCGAAAACTTCACTGCATTATTAATTACCTGTCATACTGGAGAGACGATGCGGGCAAGATTGGGCAAGCTTCATCTACTTAATAAAACTCTTTGTTGTCGCACGATAGGTAATTAGTTTTTCTATACATTATCCTTAAGCAACGCGTCGCGTCTATTCATTTAATCACTGTCTCTCAAACGAAATGGAGTGCTTACACGAAAAACCAACAACCTCTTCTACAACACAACATGGAACATTTTGGTTTTGTGGTCAGAAGCCTAGCTGTAACTTTTTCTGTCCAGACGAAGACAGTTACATGATAAAGGCCGTAGAATCGTTTCGCAAAAGTGGTAATCTTCAACCAATATGTCCTGCTCATCAGAAACATGCCAAGATATGTATGGTTAAAGACAAGATGAAGCTTAGTTATGGTCGACCATTCTTCGTCTGCGCTGAACGAGAAAACCCGTGTACGTTTGGCAGTGGGGCGATATATTTCACAATCCTTCTCCGAGATGCAGTCATGGTTTGGTGTGCCGAATTCGCAAAGTCAAGAAAGACGGGCCGAATCAAAATCGTCTCTTCTACTGTTGTGCGAAAGAAAACGATGCCTGTAATTTCTTCGAATGGAAACCAACCAAGGATTCGCCATCCATTCAGAACTTGGGAGTGTTGTTTACCAACCCGCTACAATATCAGTATAAAGTAGCAGAAACTGGAGAGACATTTATTAGTGGAAAAGTTGACACTAAGGACGCGTGCGAAGAATACTTATTCTTTAAATCTGTAAATGCTCTAGCAAATGAGTTTAGTTAACTATCGATCGCTTAATAAATACATATTATGCATGAATTTTCGTAAAAAATATGAATAACTGTAGTCGTGTAGCCAAATAAATGTTTTATAACATCGCATACGAGTGTGTTGTCTTTATTCCTGTTCAGATTTTTGTTGCGTAAAGATGGCTCATTTGGATATCATCTATGATGAATTAAAAAGAAACGAAATTGATATTGACTGGCAAACCTTATCGTTTCATATTAAAACTATACTTGACAAACACGAAAATTTATTTCGAGGAATGTACATTTCAGATTTTGAACAGCTCTACAGAGAGATTTGTGTTAAAAACTATGGACGACTCTTTGCTTATTTAGCTGTCGTCAGTTTACATTGTTACAGTGAGGATAATATTCGTCGAAACGTACGAAGAGCTATTGGGGCATTTCAAAACATATACATTCCAAAATACAAACGAGTCAATAAACGGAAAATTTTCATAATAACTACTCTCACCTTGATCGCTATATATGTGAGTCTATAACGACTGTCTTGTTCACTTCGCTCAAACCTTTGAGGTGGAAGGATGATGCCTTGCTGTGGTAAAAGTCTTCCAGAGATTTCCCTCCGAAACATTTTTCGAAAGGTGCCTTGCATTTCTGCTTGTTGTGGTGGTAAAATTATAATACAGGACTCAGATATTGATGGCGGAGAAATATCTAGCCGAGCTGTATTACAATCCAGAAAGTCCCGCAAGCTTTGGTGGCGTCGATTCTATATATCGTGCCGTAAAAAGCGAAGGCAAACATCAGATATCGCGGAATAAAATACGAACATGGCTTCGCAAGCAGGATACCTATTCTTTACATAAACCTGTGAGATATCGTTTCAAGCGGAACCGTGTTATAGTAGGAGCTATCGATGAACAGTGGGAGGCGGATCTAGTAATTATGGACTCGTTAGCAAAGTACAATAATAACTACAAATATATTTTAACGGTAATAGATATACTTAGCAAGTATGCGTGGGTTGAACCGATCAAAGCAAAGACGGGGGAAAATATATCTGGTCAGTGCGTTCGAGAAAATTCTTAAAAAGCACCGCAAACCCGAAACGTTTCACTCAGATAAAGGTACGGAGTTTACAAACCGAAAATTTCAAGCCTTGTTAAAGAAAGAAGGTATTCGGTTCTTTACAACTCAGAATGAAACGAAAGCATCAATCGTAGAAAGATTCAATCGTACGCTTAAGGGGAAAATGTGGAAATACTTTACAGCAAATAACACGTTAGAGTACATGGACATTCTCCAGAAACTGGTTAAGTCCTATAATCACTCGCGACATCGCAGTATCGGTATGAGACCGGTAGATGTGAATAAAAGTAACGAGAATATTGTGTGGCAAACACTCTACGGGAAGAAGACGAAAAAATCAATCCAGTTTAAGTTTAACATTGGCGACCAAGCTATAATACTTGGCATTACCGGTACCTGAGAAGACCCTCATGAGAAGACCCCAAATGCACGAGAGCGCCCCTACTATATATGGTATAGATGGCCTTATATGTATGTACAGTATGTAATATGAACTGTGTAGAATCAACCACAACATACGCACTACAGACGACTCTCAAATATATATACAGTATACTATTTTGAATTATTATTTACTGAGTTGGTGACTTTTTCACTTCTCAGTTATAAGCTCAGAGCACATATTGACCATGGCATTATGTTAATTTAACACGAGCAGCGAATATTGTGGCAGCGACGCAGCGTTATATGCCAGCGTAAATTTCACAAAACGCGCGTGACGGCGCGTCAACAGCAGTATAACTATGGCATAGCTAATGCTAAATAAGAAAGAATAATATAGTTGCTTGAATGTCTGAAAGATTTCAATTCGTAATTCAATTTGATCTTCTTCGGCAAGACGTCAATTTGATCTTCTTCGGCCTGTCTCCTTGGAATTCATATCAAAACTTCAATCAATTTGACTTATTTCTTCCCCTTGTAGCAGGAATGAGAAGATAGAGTTCAAGTAGAAGGAAATTAGTCTCACATTGATTAATTTCCACGATAGAAATGTAGATAGATTTAAATTCCGAAATTTAGGAAATATTACCTGGTAACCGAATAAACAGTATTCAAATTTTAGACTAAACTGGTGGCGTTCAGCCCTATATCTGAACTGATATAGCCATACTAGCTATAGTATAGAGCGCTAGCATCTGCATGAGTAGGCAGAGATTGTTGCATTTTCAGTCATACGTTTTGAAATTTAGGTAATATTACCTAATCACAGAGTAAAGAAACATATTTAAATTTTAGATTAATTACAGACCAGGGGCCGGTGGTATAAAAAAGTAGGCAGAGATTGTTGCATTGTCGCAATTTCTCTGACATTTTGGAACTATTACCTAATCACCGAGCAAATAGAAACATATTTAAATTTTAGATTCATTCGATGAAAGCTGATAGTTATGTACATTAATCTGCTGGTCAATGTTGCATTCAAGCCATATATACGACTATATATAAAGTACTAGCAAGCATCTGCCCTCAAACCAAATGTTCTGAAGTTTAGGAAATATTACCTAATCACTGAGTAAAGAAAACATATTTTAATATATATTGATTGGACGAAAGTTGTTGGTTTATAGGGCTTGAATGCAACATTGGGCTTGGCTGCAATATTGACCAGATTTACATATTAAACCATCAGATTTTGTCGTATCAATCTAAAATTTAAAATTTATGCAGATGCTACTGAATGCTCTACGCCTCTACATATCGTATATTTATATATATATATATATATATATATATATATAGAGCATTCAGTAGCATCTGTATATAAATTTTAAATTTTAGATTGATACGATAAAAGCTGATGGTTATGTAAGTCCGATCAATATTGCAGCCAAGCCCTATATATACTATATATAGAGTACTAGCATCTGCATAACCCGAGTATAGGCAGAGATTGTTACATTTTCTCAAACGTTCTGAAACTTAGGAAATATTACCTAACCACTGAGTAACGAAACATATTTAAATTTTAGACTGATTCGATAAAAGCCGATGGTTATGTAAATCTGGTCAATATTGCAGCCAAGCCCTATGTAGCCTATCATAGTTAATAGAATAGATGGTTTGGAAATTCATTACAATAACAATATAACTCATTATCTACAGTACAGCCCTAATGAAAGTTAACATCGTGTAACGAGCGAGTTGCGAGTTCGAGCGAGAGGCTATCGAGCGCGATTTGACCCCTAACGAGAAATCTGCGAGTTGCGAGTACGCGAGCGCGAAGCGAGCGAGCGTTCTCGAAAATTTTTAATATCGAGCGAGTGTTCTCGAAGACTTTAATTAGATATCGAGCGAGGGTTCTCGAAAATTGTTTGTATCGTGCGAAATCGAGCGAGAGTTTGACCAACATGTGGCGAAATATAGGATAATTGCTGTTTCCTTTCATGGAAAACGTCACGTATTTTGACATATATTTACCAATTCCCTAAAAATATAACTATGATAGGGTGATAGCGGTTATATTATTTCGTTACTCACCTTTACAAAACCTCAAGATAAACAAAATTCCCTGGTGGCCTGGTTAAGTCAGCGTCTGTTTATTCGAAGTGTTACATGTTAGTGTAGGTAAAAAACACTCTCTTTCTATTATATACTTTATTAGAATTAGTGGCTCAACGTACTCGTTATCGTTAGAAATAAACTATTTCCAAAATTTTACGGTGTGACTCATATACACCAAAACAATCTATATAATTATAGCCTTATAATGTTAGTTCGCTTCGGTTGATTGCATTTAGTAACCGATAGCTGTATTCATGCACAATCTTTACAACCACAATAACAGGAACTCCACCGACAACTTATTGTCTCGTATGGATTATCGAAAACAAAAGAGCGTTACAGATGATGTCAGTGAAAAACATGCTGTCTGATTTATAATTATACTGAGATCTGAAGCGTCTTACTAGGCTCATTACTGTTTTGATCTCTGTCGGTGAGCCTGCTCTGAGAGATATTATAGAAATAGAAATAAGAACGCGATGTCTTCAAGAAACTTGACGAAGTTTTACTTTTACGCTGATAAGACACTGTTAGTGGTGTCGCGTGAGAAGTTACTGAACGCAAATAAAGTAGTCATATCATCGCGGTCAAAGGAAGTGACGTCTAAGCGATACTGCATTAAAAGGCATGGAAAGCGAAGTTGATATCTTTTGGAGGTAAAATAATACTTATTTTTGTAGATTGTATTTCGTCTTTATTTCAAAATATTGATTGTGGATTTTAATGTTTCTGGATTTTAATGTTGTCCTTAAAGATCAGTCAAGAATTGACTCTGTATTGTTAATTTCAGTTTACCCCGTGTTTTCGCACGGACTTGCGAAGCAACGTTACTTCTACCAGTAGTTGCAGATTATTTACGTATGCGAAAAATGTTACACGCAGTATAGCGCTGCGAGAATTCTCGTGAATGTTTGCATCGAGATTTCTCGCAAAATTCTTGTGTATCGAGTAACGCGAAGCGCGTTTCGAGAAGCCTATCGAGCGAGCGAGAATTTTTATCGAGTGGGTTTCGAGATCTCGATACTCGAAACATTTTCCTCGATAGCATCGAGCGAGAATGGTTAACTTTCATTAGGGCTGTACTGTATATAGTAACAAGCACGTATTTATGTACGTAATAGCCGGCTCATGCCATGCTTGTGGTATATTTTAGCTCATACACTTGTACGCTCGCGCACAATTCCGAACTCCAAGGAGAGAGTGCTCCAGTGAGATATTCAGTTCAGTTTCAAAATGGCGGCTTTTCACTGAGCGATCTAATATATATTTTACACATTTTCGTTGCATTTTCAAAGAATTGAGCCGGTTTCCTATGGAAAATACGTTGTATTGCACTCTGGACTCTCTTTCGTGTTGAATTGATGTGTTTTTCTTTGTGTAAGACTCGAAAACCCCAACATTTGGACCCAGCGAATTTATACAATTAACTTTTTAAATAACAAGTATAAATATACGTTGTAGACTCATAAACAAACGTTGTACACTTGTGTTCATTTGCATAATTATAGATTTGTATCTAATTACATTAATTTGCACCAAATTACTTTCCATTTCATCATATATTACTATAAAAATGTATTTTTTTTGTATTCAGCGAGGTGGCGTTGCGTGCCGCGACTGTAATGGCGTTGCGTGCTGCGACACTAATGTAACAGTGACGTCACACGGTACACGGCTGTGTAGCGTGGTGATAAAAAATATTTAAGCTGTGTATTCTTTACTATACGCTACACAAGTGTGTACCGTGTGACGTCACTGTTAGATTAAAGGCGCTCTACAGTCGCTGTTGGGCTGCGTTTGTTATAAAAAATCTGAAAATAGTGAGCGCTTTGGATGCGTGTACACTAAAATAACCCTATAGTCTGTTATATTTAGTGCGAATTTGGTTACGCTACGTGCACAGCCGTGTAACGTAACAATTTAGGCCCAATTTACTAGACTTTCAAAATAACATTCCTTACATATTTACACACATTTACGCAGTTTATACAGTTATACTGTATGAATACACGGGTCACGGGAATATAATGCTCCATGCTGCAAACCCATTGCAAAATGTTGCAGGCTAACAAAGGATTCTGCATTTTTAAATTCATATATTACCAATAATGCGAATGATTCACGCTCAGGAACTAAAGATAGATCTGCTTGGCTGTAAGTTTTTAGGTAAACCAATCTCGCATTTTTTGGCTTAAAATTTTGCATACAGATTTGACTATGTATATTAAGACATCGTCGTTCTCTACAATGCTCAATAATTTGTTATACGAAAATATTGCTTTGTGGAGTTTAATTGCAGACTATGTTATAATTGTATAAATCCATATAATACATAAAAAGCCACTGGACATGTAATGTGATAGGTGACACTTAACAAAGATCGGAAAGTTAAAAAGACTAAATATAAACTAATTTACTAATTGTTTGCTCCTTCTGCTAAACAAACAAGCCTATTTTATCATTGGATCGAGCCTTAAATTCATGAAATCGGACGGTTTGAAATATGTGATTATTTCAAACAATCCTGGCAAAAATTATTGTGGACACCGCGTGCATCAAACAAAAATAGATCTATTTCTACAGAATTAATCCCCAGAAAATGTCTCCCCTCTACTCCCAATTCAATGTTGGTAAATGAAACTTTTAAAATTTCAATGCGAGAAACAACATTGAATAGGGGGCAGGGAGCGAAAAATTTCATGAGAGAACGTCTCAGTGTTAATATTGGCATTAGAAAAGTTAGGTGTCCCCATCATTTTTGCCAAAATTGTAGCTGCAACGCGAGGCGGTTGGCTCAGCAAGTTGCTCTCGTGTGCGGCGGGCCTAAATACTGGAGCTCCAGACAAAAATTTTGCCATGGAGCCTTTTTCTCGCTCTGTTCGCTGTAATTATTACTCCTCTCATAGTTTCAGTATTCTAAAGGATAAAATAAAAAAATCGATTAAAATGCATTCTGGAGAAAAATAAACTGTTGTACGAGAAACAATATGGATTTCGTGAAAAACGATCAAGGGAAGCCTCACATATCGATTTTGTCCATGAGAAACGTCATACGTTGGTTTCTCTGGAGACCCCGCACCCCCACCCCCCTCTTAGAAACGTCACACATTGTTATCGATATTTTGTTCTTATAGTACACATGAATAAGGTAATTTTCTATATACATTTTTTTTCAGTCGGCTATTGGCGATGTTCCGCGAGGAATATGACATACTGCTTTTTTATTATAAATATAACTTCAAAATTTCCAACGTTTCTCAAAACAACTTTTTTTGCACGAAATTGAAATATTGATAATTTTAGCGCGTTTTTCTTGAAATTTGAGTGTTTGCAATGCAAGGAAGGCGTAATAATCAAATGTATAGATATAGAACAGGTATGGTATTACGAATGTATAGACTGCTGTTTGTATCAAATTATTTTCTTTTTTATATTCTGCAAAGATAAAAACTATCGAATTTTTCAACGATGTTTACAGAGAAACGTCACAGCTGCCACCCCCCCCAAACGAACATATGACGTTTCTCGTGAAAAAAATCGATATGTGAGGCTTCCCCAACTCAACATGCTGTAATTGATATAGTAAGCCAAATACTAATGGCTTACTGACCGAGAGTGAGGGCTGTACGGGAAAATATCCAACCGAGGTCTGAGCGATAGCGAGGTCAATACAGCAAGATCGAGGTTGGATATTTTCCCGTACAGCCCGAACAGTTGAGGTCAGTAAGTTTTTTATTATATGGCATGGTACGTTTGTAAAAAATGGAATAAAAGGTCACGGGAGGGCAAAGTACAAAGTCCGAAAGAGTTTGCAAAAAAAAAACATTTGTAAAAATGTTCTTTGGTTAATAGTAAAACTGCTCTACAGTACTTTTTATATAGAATACTAACGCAGTTTGGATAGTAATTTAAGAAAAACACGAGGTATTTTGTCATTTAGTCAAAGACAACAAATATAAAAACAATAAAAAATTACAAAAACAAGTACGTTTTTAGTTCGCTTCGTCTCATATTTATGTCTCTTTTAATCTAACAAAAACAGAAATTTTCAGGGAAAAATTATAAATCTGTGGCTGTTTTAGTTGTATTTTATATTTAGGATGATGTCAAATTCCTCCTGGCTATCTGCAGATAAAATTTGTAGTATAGTTATAAACATTGTAAAATTTACCTTGTAATTTTGGCTTTCGCTAACAAAAACGTATGGAGAAAGTTCTTTAACCGCAGGAGTTGCTCCTCTTTTTATATTAGGTTTATTTTTCTTCGTTTTGAATAGTTTTGAAAGACATTTAGACACTTTTTGCTTTTTGAAACTCGGCCCATCGTCGCAGGGCAATAAAAATTATGTATTGCCCGTGGGCAATACGGGAAAATCCTGCCTCGTCAGCAGCCAATCAAATTGCGCGATTCATCAAAACAAATGCTTGCCATATAATAAAACTGAATATGGACCAAAAAAAAAACTCTTGTGGTACATTTATTGATTTACAGAAAGCGTTTGATACTTAACAATTATTCGCCGAAGGCGAATTGATTACCGGTCAATATTCACCGAGACGAAGTCGAGGTGAATATTCACCGTGATCACTGAGCCTGAGGCGAATAATTGTTTTAGTATAAATTTTTAATGAATAGAACAAAATATCCGAATATCAGTTCAATAGAATTTCAGAAATAAAACTGTTTTCGGCCTGTTTACTAATAGTGTTGCAGTGTTTCTTGCACTCACACGCTTTCAAACGGCTTCTCGGTACAACAGGGCAAAAAGACTATAGATTCTATTACGAAAATCAGTATTTTTGCTGTTTTTGCCGTCGCATATATTGTTTCGAAACTTATTAATATTCGGTCAAGTTTTATGGTAAAGAGAAACTTATCGCGAAGATTTTGAGCATATATATGATTGAATTGGATGAAAACTCGCAAAATTATTTAATTATTAATCAGTTCGAGCGTTCCATTGCCAGAAATACTGTGCCATGTTAACATCTAGTCTCGTGAATGGTGTTTTATACTTGCAACAAATATTGTGAAAAATGTAGAGAAATAGCATGAGAATGAATTGTGGTAGTCGTATTCGTTCAGGTCAAGAATGCGCAAGACCTGGAATTATGAAATGGACATATTGTATTTATACTGTCCAGCCAAGATTGTTTAGTGTATTTTGGATATGGATGAATTTATGTTTTTACGTCTTTTATAGATAGGTATCCGGTAGCTGATATTTTGCGATAAAAATCCATGCTTATGACTGGCAGTAACTATTCTTTTTCAATGTAAAATTATAATTGTGTTATTGTTCCTGTCATTTAGCTAATCACCACATTTTTTTTTATTTTTCAGTATGCGTAATACTTAACTGGAATTGTATTTTATAAACATTTGAACTTGCATTTTATATTTTAATTATTGTAAATATATGATCTAGGGAATAGGGGCCTTAAATGATAGCCATGTGGTTTCTGTTAGGTCCCTAGCCAGCTAGCCCCAATTCTTGTAAGTATAACTGTGGCAATTGTGTTTTGCCGTTACAACCAATAACGTAAGTAATTGTGTTTTGACGTTAAAACCAATCTTACGTTCACAAAGGCGGAAAGTATATGATCCTAAACTGGATTTCACGTTTATAAACAGTATAAAACACCATTCACGAAGCTAGATGTTAACATGGCACAGTATTTCTGGCAATGAAACGCTCGAACTGACCAAGTGACCAATTCACACGAACTTTTATCGATGGATAATTTTGCGAGTGTTCATCTAATTCAGTCACATATATGCTCAAAATCTTCGCGGTAAGTTTCTCTTTACCATAAAACTTGACCGAATAACTTTCGAAACAATGCGACGGCAAAAACTGCAAAAATCCTGATTTTCGTAATAGGAACTATAGTCTTTTTGCCCTGTTGTACCGCCATCTCGGATTTATCATTTAGGCCCCTCCTGCGCTGGGTATTCGTTAGCAATCTAGATCTCCTATATCTATGGTTTGGAATATAAACACAATAACGGCCAGACTTAGAATTAAAAATAGTTTCTGTTTAGCATTAATTCTTCAGGAAATGGCTGAGGAATTTTGTAAAATGAAATGTAAAATTATATCGTTCGAAATAAAGTTTCAATAACACTTTTTACTTTACAAGTTTCAATTCGAAAACACAATAGTACAATACATCGTCAAGACACCATCGGGCTACTAACTCTTGACGAAGGGCCGTCGCTCGAAACGTCGAGTTTCTGCTTATTTTTTATTTTTTATTTTTTATTTTTTATTTTTTATTTTTTAAGGTAGCAATATAACCACTCAGCACAGCATTTTTACATTGGTACTACCAACACTGGTACAGACAGTTTTACAATAAAAACACGACATATCAAAAGAAATAGTATCATACAAATTGAGATGTTTATAGGATACAAAACAAAATTGTTTGAAAAAGAATATCACGGCTTTTCCCAACGTTTGGGATAGTTTTTGCTATTTGTTTGAAGCGAATATTTCGGAGTTTTAAATAAGTTTTAAAATGTCCGTGAAAATGTTGACACAGTAAAATAATAAAGAAATCCTACCTTTCAAGTTGATTACAACATTTTGTGTTTCTTCCGTTTTCTGGGACGATTTTTTCAATATTTTGTCGATTTTGAAACCAAATTTGCCGAGTCACTGTATTTGAAAAGCATTAATTACTACCCAGGTGGTAAATAATGCATCAGATTTACTAGTCGACTAGCCAATCAGAACGCGCGAAAGCTCACTTGAGATGCAAAATTTATACTAATGTTAAGTTGATTATTCTATACTTTTGAAAAAGTGACATCATTACGGAGTCCGTGGGATTGTTAATGATTGGTTTCGCTCATATTTATCGAATAGTACACAGACAAAACAAGTTGGTGATAAAGTATCCGACAAAGAATTAACTACAATAGGTGTACCTCAGGGGTCTGTTTTAGGACCTTTGCTTTTCTTTATTTATGTTAATGATATCTATAATTCATCTAACAAATTACAATTTTACTTATTTGCGGATGATACGAATTTGATGTACGCTGATAAAGATCTAAAAATATTAAGTATAGACTTAATGCGGAACTACTTAACGTGTGTAACTGGTTAACTGCAAATAAATTATCTTTAAATATAAAAAAGACGCATTTCGTGATCAAAATCCTTATCAAAAGAAGATAAATTATGAGGTAGATTTGAAGATATTTGACAATAATTCAAACTCTTTTATTTCTTTGGAACGTAAACATTTGGGTCTGCTTATTGACAGCAATCTTACGTGGAAATACCATATTAGTTACGTTGCTTCAAAAATAAGTAAGACAGTGGGCATTATCTCCAAATTAAGGCATTTTGTACCCAGAAATATTTTAATAAATATTTATAAATCTCTTATTCTTCCTCATAATTCCTATGGCATAGCAGTATGGGGTCAGGCTGCCAAAGTTCATATTGATAGAATTTTAAAGCTTCAAAAACGTGTTCTTCGGTTAATATATTTAGGGGATTACACATCCCATGCAATTCCTTTCTTTACTTTTATTTTATTTTATTTTCTTCTTCCAACATTTTACCGGTTGAGATGCTATACTTTAAATATGTCTCTATTCTGATGCATGATGTACATAATAACTTGGCACCACTACATATATCAAATCGCCTTACTTATACTCATGACATACATGACTATATAATACCAGATTTTCTTCAAACGTTAACTTCTATGTGAAACATTCATGTTTAAATAAACTGGATAACACTTTTTCCAGAACTGGCCCAAGAATATTGAACGGTATTCCATGCATGTGACTTATACGTAATTCTCCGATGAATAAATTTAATTAAGAAAACGTTACATAAAGTATTAGTTTCTATATTTACAAATGAGGAGGATTATGTTGATATCGCAATGTTAACAAACAGATTGAAAGATATAACAATTAGATAAATTCAGCTCAATTCTTCTAAGATAAAATATTATTATTGCATATATTTTGAAACTTATATGTCGTTTTATGTGTTAAATTTATATGTTATTTTTATATTTGAAACTTATATGTCATCTCTATAACTCGTAGCATAGTCTCTCACTTGTCTGCCTCGAATAGCTTTCGCTACCTGCAGACAACTGTTAAATTTTTGTATATATTTTTGGGTTTTTTTATTAAAATTACTGTTATTTTAAAATTACTGTTACCACTGTCTGGTCGCATGTTTCGTCCTAAATATTCATGTTGTACCGCACGCACGGGGGAGTATAATTGGCGTGCGTGTGATAACAGATAGCTTTAGTATTATACTTCGAAATAATCATTCTTCATCGTTGAGTTTGAGCAACGTAAATGCAGGGAATGTTTTGTTTTGAATATCGGACAGGATACACTTCAGCTATAAACCTGTCAAAGACACTGACTTGTCCCCAGTCGCTCGCGTTGGATCATGGGAATGGGTTTGGTTTCTGAGCGACTGGGAAATCCTGTATTCAAGATGGCGTCCATATATAATGGGGGACGCTATATCAAAGGTGCGAAAATTAGGGCAGAAACATTTTAAAGGCTTTCATGAAGCGTTTTTGGTGCACAAAGTTGTCTGTCCCGTTTCAGAATGTGTGCGAAATGTGTTATTTTTTGAGAAAAATGGATTACCGCAACATTTTCGTGTGGTTTATATAAAAAATTAAAAATATCATGAGGATGAGAAGATGAAACGCATGTGTGGCGAAGAAACGTTGCGACATATTCAATATCAGTATGAGAAAGAATCAAAGGCGAGCTAATATCATGAATAATTTCTTTTACAGTTGTCAATAAGGCTTGTTTCGCAAATTTTTGCGTCCTTAATATTTTTGGGCAGTGATAAAGTATGCACATGTTTTAATATTTGTTGGTTTACAACTATTAGGTATTGAGTGGATGTTGGTTCAAAGTTTCCAGGAAAGGAGATGTTAATGTATTGCCGAAGATGCGAGGAAAGCTTCCGAAATTTACGAAGTAATAAATTCTGAGAAATGCAAATCAAAATAATCCATGTAAAATATCAGTTGGTATACCAAACAAACAATGGATGGAACACATGGAAACATTGAGGGGAAGCTTATTGTGGTTGAATGTTACAAAGATAAACATAAATCGAGACATAAATATGAAACTAAAATAGCTCAAATTTGTTACAGCATGCCCCCACCCCAAATATAAGCCCCTCATTGTCTTTATAGCTTACTAGTCTTACTATGTTATTCAAAGTGTGCTTTTAACACATGTTTGTTTTCCTGTTTATGACTGATTTGTTTATTACTAACACAAGACTGAAAAGAACACCCATGTACAGTACTGTATAAATCCCCTGTATATAACTTCCCCCCCCCCCCTGTGTCAGCCCATCAAAAATTGCTTACAAAAGAATATAAGCCCTGGCCCAGTGCTTATTGTCAGAGGTTTGAGGTATTCTTGACTTGCACCCAACCCTTGAGAATTAGAAGACAATTAACAGCTGCCATTTTGGTGCCAAATTCAATGAAAGATAATGAGATCCTTTTGAAAACATGGCACCAACATGACTGTTCAGCCCACATAACTACAAGTCAAGAATAATAAGTTCTTTGAATGTTTGCATGGCGATAAAATATAATTGTTTTTGTTTGTGGAAACACCACGTAAATTTATTACTGCCAGTACAGTTTATTAAGTCAAGAATAGTACTCTCCTTCTTTTACAGTACATTTTTCTGGCCGGCAGTGGCTTATGTAGCTTGAGCCATAGCTTTGTTATTAACCTGCCTCGCAGATGTCCTTATGGCTCTGAGCCATTTAAGTTATTAAAAATGTCTGCGAGGCAGGCTACTTTGTTATGTGTGATAGTCGATGCTCAACCATATTGTTAAGGTTACAGGACACCCTTTTTGGCGTTTTGTGGAAAATCGCTACTGCGCGCTAAAAATCAGTCCGATTTTCATCAAATTTTCACCAAATCTTAGCCAGTGCATGCAAAATATGGTAAAGTTGTAAAATTGACAAGCAATAAAATAAGGTAAGAATTATTCAGGAAAATCTTAAATCGCGGTACCTTTACGCTTTTGAGTTATGTTCCGCCTGGTTTTAAATTATATTTATGAAAACATCATTTTTAAACAGTAAAATAGTTGTTCTAAAAAATTGTGTTCGGAAATTTTTGTTTATTTAGTCATTCCGCTGATATGGCAATTCCTTTGACGACTGCAATATATTTCTGAATCGTTTGAGTGAATTGCTCCTTATTATTAAAATATTCAAAATTAGAACAAAGCCGAACAAAATTTTGAAACTGACGTCTTTAGCTATGTCCTGTGAAAATTTGAGAAAAAATCGTCAAAACTCGCAGGAGAACAACTCGTTTGAAAATCACTAATTGCTCTATAATAGGTTGATTTATTTGACCTTAAAAAATAAGCAGAATCTCGACGTTTCGAGCGAAGGCCCTTCGTCAAGAGTTAGTAGCAGGGATCGGGAAAAATGGACGAGCTTTTATACTAAGAGTATGAAAGCATCACGTGAAAAAAATAAACCAATTAGATGAATTTAATCATAACAAAGTGTAAAACAAGATATGTAAATCGCATTACAGAATATAATATAACTAAAACTATAAAAATTTAAAAATATAAAAATATAAAAATATAAAAAAACAAAAATAAAAAATAAAAATAAACAGGAAGTTAAGATAAATACTACAAAAAATATTCAAAACAATACACGAGTGGGAATAAGGTAAAAGTAAAAGTAATAAATAGAGGTTGTCATTGTCTACTATAGACAGGCAAGGACAGATGGCATCATAGACAAAGCAGAAGACATGTCTTCTGGATTGTCTATGATGGCATTAAACATAAGAAAAGCGTTCATTTATGCAAGAAGGGTGAACAGTGCCAAGTTTGGATATGAGGCGCATTTCATGTCGTTTGCGGCTATCGTTGCTTCCAGAAATGAGACAGAGGGCTCGAATTAACATATCTGAAACACTGTGAATGCCATCATTAAAATGTCTGGCAACACGTTGGTTAACATCACTGCTAATAACTGCACACCGATGCTCACCAAACCTTGTTCTTAACTATCTTCCAGTTTCCCCAATGTAAAGCATGCCACATCTGCTGCAAGAGATGCAGTAGATGAGATGGGAGGAGGCGCACGTGAAATGGTGCTTGATGTGAAATTCACATTTATGTGCCGAAACAATAGTGGTGGTATCTATAAAATCACAGGTTTTACATTTCGACGACAGGCAAGGAAAAGTGCTTATCTGTGACGTCGAAGCCTGTGCTAGGGAGCTATGGATAATGGTTTCATTGTTATTCTTGCTGTGGCGAAATGAGACAAAGGTGTTATCGGAGAAAATGGAAGATGTTTCATGGTCGTTTTTCGAAATGTGTAAATTCTTGTTGATGATATCTCTAACTTTGAAATTGAAAGGATGATAGTTTAATACTAGGGGGATTTTGATGTTGCCTGTGACATTTGACACAGGGTCTGCGAGGGTGTCAGAAGGGGGAAATTTGGGAGGCCTTGGAAAAGGCAGTGTCCACGCTGCTGAAAAAAGTGTCTCATCTCCAGAGCTTTGGCCTTAAAATCTTCGTCTTCACTGCAGATGTGGCGAAGACGAAGGAACTGAGAGAAGGGAAACGACCTTTTGGTGTGGTTGGGGTGGGAAGAGGAAAATAGAAGATAGCTATGGGTGTCAGTGGGCTTGTAGAACACAGATGTAGATAGTAAGTTACCATTGATTGATACAAGAATATCTAAAAGTGATACACTGGTTTCATTGATCTCGCATGTGAACTGGAGTGCTGGATAGAAATTATTAACAAAGTTAATAAAGCGTTCCAATTCGACACGAGAACATGATGCTGTGCCAAGACAGTCATCTATGTACCTACCATGGTAATCAGGGATGGGATCAGTGTACTGTTCGAATATTTGTTTTTCCACAAAACCAACAAACATATTAGCATAGTTGGGTCCCATTTTAGTTCCCATTGCTACACCATTTATCTGTTGGTAATGCTCACCATCAAAGGAAAAACTGTTGAGGGTAAGCACCAACTCAGCCAATCGGACCAAAACAGAAGTGGGCCGTTCCTGGTTAGGGCGTTTATCTAGAAAGAATTTGAGGTCCCTTAAACCATCATGATGCGGAATGACAGTGTATAAGGATTTGACGTCCATGGTGAAAATGAATTTGTAAGTACCATGAAAATTAATGTTCTGGAGAATTTGAAGAGCATGCTTGGTATCCTCGAGATAGAGTATGGTAAGTCCTTAACCAAGGGTGCCATTACACTGTCGAGAAAACTGGAGGTGAGTTCGGTGGAACAACCACAATTTAGGCCCAAAAGGCCATCCAACCTCACTGACAATGAATTTAGCGCCCTCCAATTACTCCATGCTCGTAATGACATTGTTATCAAACCTGCTGATAAGGGTAGTGCCTTAGTTGTTTGGAAAGCTGATTTATATCGTATTGAAGCCCACTGACAATTGGATGACGCCACTTTTTACAGGAGGATTGACAAGAATTTGACTTCCATTCATCAAACCACCATCACGCAGACCATTCATAACTTTATCAACGCTGGTGATCTCCCCGAGACTGCCAAAAACCTCATACACATCACACATCGCACACCTGTCATATATTTTTTGCCCAAAATTCACAAACCTGACAACCCTGGTAGACCTATTGTATCTGGTGGTTGTCTCACCGAACTCAACTCCAGTTTTCTCGATCGTGTCATGTCACCCTTGGTTAAGGACTTGCCATTCTATATCAAGGTTACCAAGCATGCACTCCGAATTCTCCAGAACATTCATTTTCATGGCACTCACAAATTCATTTTCACTAGGGACGTCAAATCCTTATGATATGTCCTTGCGCATCATGATGGTTTAAGGGCCCTCAAGTTCTTTCTAGATAAACGCCCTAACCGGGAACCGTCCACTTCTGTTTTGGTCCGATTGGCTGAGTTGGTGCTTACCCCCAACAATTTTTCCTTTGATGGTGAGCATTACCAAAAGATAAATGGTATAGAAATGGGAACTAAAATGGGACCCAACTATGCTAATTTGTTTGTTTGTGTTGTGGAAAAACAAATCTTCGAACAGTATACCGATCCCATCCCTGATTACCTTGGTAGGTACACAGATGACTGTCTTGGCACAGCATCATGATCTCGTGTCGATTTGGAAAGCTTTATTAACTTTGTTAATAATTTCCATCCAGCACTCCTGTTCACATGGGAGATCTGTGAAAACAGTGTATCATTCTTAGATATCCTTGTATCAATCAATGGTAACTTACTATCTACATCTGTGTTCTACAAGACAACTGACTCTCATAGCTGTCTTCTATTTTCCTCTTCCCACCCCAACCACACCAAAAGGTCGATTCCCTTCTCTCAGTTCCTTCGTCTTCGCCGCATCTGCAGTGAAGACGAAGATTTTCAGGCCAAAAGTCTGGAGATGAGACACTTTTTTGTCCAGCGTGGTTATCCTACCTCTCTATTAGACACTGCCTTTTCCAAGGCCTCCCAAATTCCAAGTTCTGACACCCTCACAGACCATGTGTCTAATGTCACAGGCAACAACAAAATCCCCCTAGTATTAAACTATCATCCTTTCAATTTCAAAGTTAGAGATGTCATCAACAAGAATTTCCACATTTGAAAAACCACCCTGAAACATCTTCCATTTTCTCCGATAACCCTTAGTCCGTGAAACCCTTGTCCATAGTTCCCTAGCACAGGCTTCGACGTCGCAGATAGGCACTTTTCCTTGCCTGTCGTCGAAATATAAAACCTGTAATTTTGTAGATTCCACCACTATTGTTTCGGCACCTAAATCTGAATTTCACATCAAGCACCATTTCACGTGCGCCTCCTCCCCTCTCATCTACTGCATCTCTTGCAGCAGATGTGGCATGCTTTACATTGGGGAAACTGGAGGATGTTTAAGGACAAGGTTTGGTGAGCATCGGCGTGCAGTTATTGGCAATGATGTTAACCAACCTGTTCCCAGACATTTTAATGATGGCAATCGCAGTGTTTCAGATATGTTAATTTGAGCCCTCTGTCCCATTTCTGGAAGCAACGATAGCCGCAAACGACATGAAATGCGCCTCATATCCAAACTTGGCACTGTTCACCCTTCTTGCATAAATGAACGCTTTTCTCATGTTTAATGCCATCATAGACAATCCAGAAGACATGTCTTCTGGTTTGTCTATGATGCCATCTGTCCTTGCCTGTCTATAGTAGACAATGACAACCTCTATTTATTACTTTTACTTTTACCTTATTCCCACTCGTGTTTTGTTTTGATTATTTTTTGTTGTATTTGTCTTAAATTCCTGTTTATTTTTATATTTTTTATTTTTATATTTTTTATTTTTATATTTTTTATTTTTATTTTTATATTTTTATATTTTTACATTTTATATTTTTCATTTTTAAATTTTTGATAATATTATATTCTGTAATTCGATTTACATATTTTGTTTTACACTTTGTTATGATTAAATCCATCTAGTTGGTTTATTTTTTGTCATGTGATGCTTTCATACTCTTAGTATAAAAGCCCGTGCATTTTCCCCGTCCCTGCTGCTAATTTTTGACGAAGGGCCTTCGCTCGAAACGTCGAGTTTCTGCTTATTTTTTTAGGGTAGTAATATAACCACTCAGCACAGCATTTCTACATTGGTACTACCTACACTGGAACAGACAGTTTTAGTTGATTTATTTTAGTTTATTCATTTTAGTTTATTCATTTTAGTTTATTTAATCCTACCAACTTAAGTCAAGTAATAAGTCTTATTGTTTTATATTTTATTTATATGTTAAAAGTTGAATAAATATTAATTAAATATAATATTATTTTTCTAATATGTAGTACTTCGATAGTGTACCAGTTCAACAAGACACCCAGCCATTAATACAGGACAGCAAAAGCCATTAAGTTACCAATTACGATGTATATACCCAGCTAGTTTTGATACCAGATATATCGCCACCGTCATATTTATATGTGGATAGGATAGTTTCCCATATTTCATTGAGTACCAAAACAGAGACTTCTAATTTTGAAAGCAAATTTTTGATGTCATTTATATTTTAAAAAGTATGTGCAAAATTACTTCTTGATAAACTACAATTATCAATTTATCATATACTTAGTCGATAATAGTTTATATTTTTAAGATACACATCCTTATATAATCCATGGCACATCCGCCAACATGGCTTTCATATATAAACAATCTCTCAGCACTCAACGTAATGTACGTCAGAAAGAGATAAATTTTCCATTTACACATCTAATTAGTCACACGAATCCTTCGAAGAGTTTTCTAAAGCGTGTATTGTCGCGCCTCCATATTTGAGGCAAATGTCAATTTTGCCCGTTTGCCAAGTTTTCGACTATTCTGCCAACTTTTCGACACACAATTCCATAGTCCCTCGCATTTCCGAGGTTTAACTGCCAACGCCTAACCCGCGAACGGGCATATTCTCCTAAAATGTAACGAGGGACTGTGGAAGAGTCAGTAGAAGACATGTACGTTTCTACTCAACCGTTTCGCTACTTCTAAATGGGTACATAACCAATATTCTAAATTTTAGAATGTGGGTAGTACCCATGCTGGGTATATACCTAGGCAATCCTAACCCTAACCCTAACCCCCAACCCCGAACCGCTAACCACTAACCCCGAACCGCTAACCACTAACACCGAACCGCTAACACCTAACCACTAACCACTAACCACTAATACTGGATAATGCATCTATAGTATAATATATATATAGTGCATCTATAGTATAATATATATATATATATATATATATATATATATATATATATATATATATATATATATATATATATATATATATATATATACAGGGTGTATCATAAAAAACGGAGTCCATCTTTTGTACTTAATAACTATCGGCCTGCTATATTTAATAAAACGGTTTTAGGCTTATTTAAAGGACTGCTCATTTATCTTTCGAACAAATGGTCATCCGTGTCTTTAATGCAAGTAATAACTGCACAGGAGAAAATTTAGTAAAACCTATAATTTTTAGATGCCGCTTAATTATACAAATTTACTATGATATTCCATAGTCGGTTACAATGTTTGAATTTTCTTGTTCAAACTTTAATGTTCTTGTTGCCGCATCAGAAAAAACTGGTAAAAACTTGTTAAAAACATTCTAAAAGAGATTATGTTGTTTTATTTATTTCAAAATCCTAAATTATTTCCAGAAATCATCAAAACAATCTTATGTCAATGCATCGTCCGAACTAACGCCATCGAATCGGGCGCAATGTAAACATAAATTAGCAAGTTGACGGGAAGCTAAAACACGCTTCAGCTGGGAATATAAACACATTTGAAGGCAGCAAGTGAATTTAAAATAGTGTATTGGAAGCCTTTATTACTTAGTTTTTACAAGCAATTGCCAAAATGCCTCAATTTGCTCGTTTTGTTGACAAAATAAGTTATTTTCATCAATTACCGATTTGTTATTGCATCTCAAATTTTTGACTCTCCAATCGCAATCACTTAAAATACTATTATTCACGAACTACTGGATTAAATCTACGAATCAACCCATCGTTGGAAAGCTGAATGTCTACGCTTTAAAATAAATGTAAACCTGAAGGTTTTACTCTAATATTCGTTTCGAAATTTATATTCGAAGCGAGGACTCCGTTTTTTATGATACACCCTGTATATATATATATATATAATGCATCTATAGTATAATAAGACTGGATAATGCATCTATAGTATACAAAAGTGAAACCGGAAGTCACCGGCAGCCACCCGTTTCGGGGGGGCCACTTTTGTATAGATTTGTATTACAGACGGCCATGGCTACGTTGCTGACCGGGCCAATTTTACAATCACAATGATAGAAGCATACAAGGAGAATTTTGAGCAAAAAATGTGAAGTATTATGGATTTATAACGCCGCGAAACGGGATTTACAACTCTGAAGGAGTGGAGAGCCTCAGACTTTGTTTATCAACACAAGCTCGTTTTGTTACTTTCATACAAAATCGACTTAAAATACACAAGAATTATAATACTATTACTGGACGAATATTCTCTGGAAATTTGAAGAAATGAAGCAGCTACAATCAGTTTCAAAAGTCTTGGGACAGATGCCACAAAACCTTTGAATTTCAACAAACGACAATCCCCCCCCCGCCCCCTGTTCAATGTTGTGTCCCATTTCTCGTCGGGTTTGACGTATTTTGGTTTAAACAACATTGATTGGGGTGGGGGGAGGGGGAGGGGAGCGGTATTGTGTGTAAAAAACAATAATGATCCATTTACAAGCTAAAACTAAATGTGTCCCAACAACTTCTGAAAGTGATTGTCCGGGCCCCATATGCCATAACATCATTGTACATCTCAAAAGTACAGGGAATAGAATGCTCTGCGAACGAAGTATTTCAGCTCCATTTTGTTCACAGAACATCTAATGACATTATAGAACAATTAAGTTTCATTAAAATTCTCAAAGTTAATAATTAACAGAATATGAATATATTTTGTTATGTCATATTGCATTCTTAATCACAAAGGTTTTATACGTTGTTTGTTTCTACAAATTTTGGCAGAGCACTAGTAGGTTATTTGAGAGGTTATAGTCCGTCAATAAAGATAGGTATCGCAAATGTTTTAAGCTAGATATGTCACACATACTGTTAATTTATAGCATAGTAATATAACATCCGGTTACTTTCGCATGCGGGTAAGGGCTGAGTCAACTGCTAATTCGGGTACTTCGAAGGAAAAGAACGTTTGATTTTTAGCACCAATAGTGAATGTGTCATTTCACATCTTTCTAGAGCAGAATTTGCAGCTATAATTGTCGACGCATGGGTACGAAGGAGCACTCAGTGGGTGGGAATTTCGGAGGCTAATGGAAAGGGCGGTATCATATAGTATATATAGTCATTTCCACATGGCTAAAAAAATGTCCGCAAGATCAAGTTGGCGAGCTATCGGAAAGCTCGAGAAGAGTAAATTCGGCATTTAATTGAACTCAGTCAGACAATCCCAAAAATTACTATTCATCATATTCGTACGTGGTAAAGAATGACCCGGACTTCGTGATTTCTCCAGGGCTTATAGACCCCCCTAATGCTGACGCGTTAGCAAGTACTAGCGCGCGCGACACGTCGAAGCAATAAAGTTGCACAGGCTTGCAAAAAATATGTGACGAAAGGGACTCGCTGTATACGGCGTTGTACGCATTATACGACACAAAGTTAGTGTTATACGCTAATTATGCTAATAAGCGTTTCCGGTCCAGACGAATGCAATGAAACTAACATCGGTTGTCACTTCGATTGTCACTATAGAAATATGAAATAATGGGCAACTAGGCAGCTTTTAAATCAGAACAAGGCTAGGAATAATTTGTTGAGAATGTCTAACAATGTATTTGTTATTAATGAAAGGGTTTGAAATTGATTAAGCCAAGTTTTGGATCGATTGACACTTTTCTACATAAATAAATCTGATATATCATAGTGATATTTCTAGAGTTGAGTGTCAATCGATACATTTTATACAATTTATATACTTTGTGATTAAGTAGAACCAGTAATATATCAATACGCGCTACCTAAACACTTTTGCTTAGTACTTAATATTCTGAAAATTATTATCCCGCGACAATTGAAAGTTATATCAATGAAAATGCTATGTGTTTCAAAGTGACAACCGAGTGACAATCGAGCACGTTTTCAAACCGTTTTATATTACATACATATTTTCATGTCAAATATGCACAATCTTTAAGTGGTTTTCAATAACTTACCCTTGCATTTTATTCAGCAATAACCTAGGTCGATAATTAACCAGATAGATGTGTTTTAAACCTTGCATATAGAGCAGGTTTAATCTCTCAGCATACGTCCCTTCCCACATATCACATCTGTTTATAAGCTCATTTATAATATACTGTTCAGTCTGTTGGATTATGTTACATTTCAAATAATTATATTGACCACAACAAGCACAGTATAAAAGCATTATATATGCCAGTGCAATTCAGTAAATATGTTAAGCTAAATGCTATACGATTTTCGCAAAACTGATATTCTAAAACATTCGCTAATTCAAAGAGGTTAAATATGCTTTTCATTGCCTTTCAGACAATCAGTTTCAAAAGTCTTGGGACAGATGCCACAAAACCTTTGAATTTCAACAAACGACAATCCCCCCGGCTCCCTGTTCAATGTTGTGTCCCATTTCTCGTCGGGTTTGATGTGTTTTGGTTTAAACAACATTGATTGGGGTGGGGGAGGGGGAGGGGAGCGGTATTGTGTGTAAAAAACTATAATGATCCACTTACAAGCTAAAACTACATGTGTCCCAACAACTTCTGAAAGTGATTGTCTGGGCCCCATATGCCATAACATCATTGTACATCTCAAAAGTACAGGGAATGGAATGCTCTGCGAACGAAGTATTTCGGCTCCATTTCGTTCACAGAACATCTAATGACATTATAGAACAATTAAGTTTCATTAAAATTCTCAAAGTTAATAATTAACAGAATATGAATATAATTTGTTATATCATAATGCATTCTTAATCACAAAGGATTTATACGTTGTTTGCTTCTACAAATTTTGGCAGATCGAGCACTAGTAGGTTATTTGAGAGGTTATAGTCCGTCAATAAAGACAGGTATCGCAAATGTTTTACGCTAGATATGTCACACATACTGTTAATTTATAGCGTAATAATATAACATCCGATTACTTTCGCATGCGGGTAAGGGCTGAGTCAACTGCTAATTCGGGTACTCCGAAGGTAAAGAACGTTTGATTTTTATCACCAATAGTGAATGTGACATTTCACATCTTTGTAGAGCAGAATTTGCAGATATAATTGTCGACGCATGGGTACGAAGGAGCACTCAGTGGGGGGGAATTTCGGAGGCTAATGGAAAGGGCGGTATCATATAGTATAAATAGTCACTTCCACATGGCTAAAAAATTGTCCGCAAGATCAAGTTGGCGAGCTATCAGAAAGCTCGAGAAGAGTAAATTCGGCATTGAATTGAACTCAGGTCAGACAATCCCAAAAAATTACTATTCAGCGTATTCGTACGTGGTAAA